AAAGCCCCCCAAAAAAAAACCCCCCCCCCCCAAAAAATTTTTACCCCCCGGCCCTCTTATCCCCCCCCGGGGGGTGTTTTTGGGGGGGGGGGGGGGGGGTTTATTAAACTATTAACTAATAACCTTTTGATTCTAATACACCATCTTGACAATCTTTTGTAAATTGCATGAATATAGCATCTAACAAAAACGGTGGTTTTAAATGTGGAGAATTGACCAAATTGTAAGCGGCTTCTGGATGGTCTTTGAGCAATTCACAATCATTAGCTGCATGATTATAGACGAGATCTGTTATCGAAAATATTCCCCATTCTTTAGCCATTTTATCTACTAATTTTTTAACATCATTATGTGTTATTTTTTCACCAAATAGTGGATTCAAAATATGATGATTGGTAATAGCGTATGATGAATTGGATATATAATATAATTTTTGAATTGGTGTAAAATGTACCATATTGTAACCAGAATATTTACTTATCAACAAACGCGATTCCCATTCATTAAACGGACCTTAAATAAAATAAAGGAAAATATTTTTCGATTAATATTTAAACACAAAAACGTTTTGTTTATATAAAAGTTTGCACTGACAACTCTTACCTAACGATTTCGATAAAACAGATTGACATTCGATACAATCAATAGGTAACACATCATTACTGCCATCTTGAAATGTTAACTTTGGTTCAACAACCAGATAACCACCACCTGACAATTTTTCTTGTTCAGCACTGCCATCCAACGTAAAATAATAATGAAATGATCCCGATTTAACACATTCAATACAAACATAACGATTTGAATCATCATATTTACACTCGGAAGGATACAGCCATTTTAATTCACGATATTTTTCACGAACAAATGGTGAATGAGATTCTCGTGGAGAATTTGTAAATATACGAACATTCTTTGACGCTAACAGAAAGAATATAAAGATTTTTATTTGAATGCACTACTAAACTGACAACATGTAAATTCTATAATTTGATCTGATACGATTTATATCAAATATTACTAATGAGAAAAGCAGAGAGTCTCCTTCTCTAAACCAGTTTATAATTACAAACAATTGAAAATACAACGCGCGATAAAACTTAAGATGAATAGTTGTTTACATGTACTTACTCAAACCACTTGATAATACTAGTTGTACAATCCATGAATTTCGTAGACGATATAAACCATTAACGAATGTTTCACCTTCTATTAATGTTAATATTCTAACTTCTTGTTGTGCTGAAAGAAGAGTAAATAAAATTGAGAGAAAAATTTCAATAGCGCAGCTAATGAGGGAACTGGAATGATGTGTTCTAAGGGGAAAACGTCATCTGAAAGGGTGCACACGCGTAACAACTTTTCAGATGTTTTATTTATTTCCTACTTTTCCATGAAATGCGACCATGTAAGAGTCGGTAATCTATTAATGGTTAGTTTCGAGGTATCAATCACATCGGACTGCATTGTGGTATTCTACGAAGAAGTCTAGAGGATTATTATATATTTCTAATTTCCTGTAAATACGAATAAGACAATTTGAAAGAAATGATCTCAATGACCTTTTCTGATAAAAAGACAGGCATTTCACATGGGCAGATAGTTCAAAGTATCATCTAGGAAATAGAAGTCTTCAACTATCATTGTTATGCTTGACGTTAATTTCCTATGACAAATGGGATCGATTCTCTCAACCGTTGAATAAAACTTGTTTTTTTATAACTATTCACAATGGTGATTCCTGATGTGTGATAACGACAAAAAAAAGTACAACATAGGTTATTGACCATATTGGGTTGAGCTCATAGCAGCGTTTGTTTTTATCAAAAAGTACCGATGTTTAGTTATTTTTAAATAAAATTAAAAAGATCATATTTCACTTACAGATATAGTGAAAGTGATTTGATAACTTCAGGACAATCGCATTTTTGTCTATTTTACAAGCTGGGATTGTTCAGAATTGATTTGGATTGATTTTGAAGTTCAGATGACCGATAATCTATGTCTGATTCACTTTTGAAGTTCCATCAATCACCACAATAGGTCCTGTACCTTCTAGGAAATCCGATGTCATGTCTGTACCAGTACACATGGAAATGTCAAATGACTCTATTTAGTTACAGACCATTTTGTACTATCTGCCTATGAAAAATAATAGCAATTACTCATAATAGTTGCACCTCAAATCTGCACAATTCCAATTTACAAAAAAATAGAGTGGCTTATTCAGCTCAAAGATTTACATACTTATTGTATTTATTAAGTTATGCTACCTTTGTGGTAAATACTCATACCCGAATGAAAGTATTTATAACATGAGTACAACTTACTCACACATTTGTGCATGAATACTTAATGATGAATGTTTGAAAGCAGAAGTCAATCAATCAATCAATCAAATTGATTTTGTCATAGTTGCGAAAGACAATGGAGATAGACAAAAAGGTTTAACTAGTGAAACTTTGAGGAAGTTTAACCGAATATAAGAAAAAAAAAAGAGTATAAGAGAAAAAAAAATAATACGAGAATTATGACTTATAAATCATACTGAAGTGTTGTACATTAAGTGGAGTACTCCTACTACTAGTAGATCCCACTAAACCTACGAGCACGTTCGAGCTCTTCAATAAGAAACGTATACAGAAAAGAATCTTACTACATGAAGAAAATTGTCCTAATAAGAACAAATTGATGTAACCCACCGAGATTACATTAGCTTCACTTCACAAAAAAAATAAGGATGCTCAGTTTTTTCAATCTTGCATCTTGGAAAAAATGATTAGCATATAATATAATAAACTTAATCACCTAGGTGCCTGTTAAAATCATTTTTCATATATAATTTTGTAGTAGCATAGGCAAGGTTGAATAGAATTGTATGTAGAGCAAAGTGGAATTAGAAGTAGAAGAGAAATGATTTTAACAGACACCTAGGTGATTAAGTTTATTATATTATATGCTAATCATTTTTTCCAAGATGCAAGGTTGAAAAAACTGAGCATCCTTATTTTTTTGTGAAGTGGAGCTAATGTAATCTCGGTGAGTTACATCAATTTGTTCTTATTAGGACAATTTTCTTGATCTATAGTAGTAGGAGTACTCCACTTAATGTAGAACACTTCAGTATTAACCTTTTTCATATACATCTTTAGCTATTCGTAAATTCTAAGTCTACATTTCTGTTTATCAATTAAAAAATCAAACAATAAGCCTTATTCCTGTTGTTTTGGTCTTTTGTCGAATTGATGTACTCGGTGCATTACCTTAAAACGCATGATATGTACGCGCACTTTGTCTCGAATTCTCAGAGATGCACGAATACAATTACAAAATGTAAAGTTCAAACACTGATATTATCCCTAGAATTCAGAGTTTTAGAATTCTGAACTTTACATGTTCAGAATTCTAGGAATAATATCAGTATTTGAACTTTACATTTTGTAATTGTAATCGCGCAGCCCTTCGAACTCTCATTAGAAATATTGCTTACGTGACTGTTGCTGTGCTGTAGTTGATTCTGTTTTTTGTTGAGATTTTGTTAATACAGTTGTTTGTTGTTGTGGTATGGTGCTTTCAGAACTTCGATAAGATTTGAATGCTGTAGTAGTATCGACAGCACTCATTTTTCTGTGTAATTTTACTGGAATCTTTAATCTTGTTATTTCTATAAACAGAAAAATATAGAGTGCAGAACCAGATAAACATTACATAACGTGAGCAAGTTACAGTAAGTGAACTATCATGTATCGCATGCTACACTTTTATTATAGCTTAACAGAAAAATGTTATAAGAAAAACATGACATCGTGATGTCATGTTTGCTCTGTGACTTTATAGATGCCTTCTCAGCGTTTTTTTAGGAGAGAATAAACTTAATGGAATATTACTACCGTTATCTGGACACTGACAATGGATGAGTAGTGGTCATTGAGCAATGGTCGTCGGAGAAGACAAAATTTTATTCTCTATCGAAAGAGGAAAGTCGTTAAGACGCAGAATTAAGAGACAGTTTTGTGAATCGATTACGATGTGCGATCCATTTCTTTTTAGTTTTGGGGCACAATTACAAGATCAAAGCAAAGGAAATCTGTGGTATCTAATCTGAGTTTGTGATAACGTTCATTTCAGTATCACATCTTCGTCACTGAGTTCAACGCCTTTGACGTTGAATAAAGCATCGAGCAAAAACTAACATTTCTACTATGATTGTTTACACGCGGACTTCGTGTATATCCAAGCAGTAGATCTAACAAAATGGCAGACGAAGATTATTCAAATAAAATAAACAAACCACGCTGCTAATATCATTCCATTGGCATCTTTCGAAGCCATACAAAACTTCTGAAACGACCTCTCTTTTCAGCTCCATGATCACATTCTTTTCCAATGTATTTCAATCACATTTCCAAGACGTCAATAGTATCAGAGCTAACATATGATTTTGCATTTATCGCCCTCTACTGACGAATCGACAAAATGCTTTTGATAAGTGGAAAAGGAATATTTTGTGGTGTATGGATCTTTCTCATGAATTTCTGACACAAAATTTTGAAAGTTATATTGTTTTACTACACTGTCCCGGAAAAGCATACTTTTAGAAAAAGTAATTGCCAATAATTGCCAGTAAGTGCCATTGGCATGGAAAAAGCATACTTTGGCACAATTTAAGTGTGCTTTTTCTAATAGTATGCTTTTCCGGGACAGTGTATGTATAAAAAAAGTATCCATAAGTAAAAGTAGTATTACTTCGAGATAGTATCGATGTAACTATGATATCATCGATAGTATTAGCAAAAATATTTACATTTAATAAATAGCATTCAATGAATTAAATTCATTGAATGCTATATATTAAATTAAGTGAATTTGTCTGAAATAGAATTTTAGACCTTTTTATAATTTTTCAACAACAATTCACATTATTTGTCAAAAATTTAATATCCTAAATTTATAGTTCAAAGTGGGGAAATCTTTCAACGATTTCTACGCTGAAGTATTCTGGGTGCTCGAAATATGATTTCGCTGGGCCCTTGGCAAGGTTCTGACCCGCCAGAAAATGAGGCTTCAACTTCTCGAATTAAGATTCCGAGGGATATTCACTTTCGAGGTCTCGAATTTCCAAATTTTCGATAGGTTGTGCAGTCTCAAAAATACTTTCGAGCAAGATTTCTGAGGGCTCACCGCATCCCTTAGACGATTTTGTTTGTCTGCTGAGATTATTAGTATTGTATTTATCATATTTAAAACAATCATGGTTTTATTTTCAAACGAAAACTACGAACATGCGTTTTCAAATGTAAAACGTACTACAGTGTCATCTTGTGGTGATTTTTAGTTAAATAATACGGATAATTATGAGAATGAGAGCATATTAAGTATCTACACATTAACAGTAGAGATAAAAATCAGAAAAAAACCAAACGCATTTATTTTATGTCAGAAGTGGTTAGCGCTGTCTTTTTTAAATATTGAATGTATTATCCTCTCTGTGTTCATGCCATTAACGTTTTTTTTCTAACAAATTAAATTATATCCGCATTCACATAAAAACAAAGAGTAAAAATGAGTTTATTATCACAGAAATAATTTAGATGAATATACCATAGTGTAAGCTCTTGAGCCAGGACGCCACACAAGAAACAAGAGAAGAAGTAAGAAATAGAGGCATTTCAGAACTGAAGTTCTTGACAAGGGATCGAAAAAAAGGCTTTCACGAGGGTACAATAGAAAAGAACAAAAAGTTCATTCAACATGTTGTTTTTCTGCTTGTTTGTATTTTTAATACGCCCTTGTTCTTTTGACAAAATCGGCTGAGAAAACAGATGTTTATTAAAATTTGTAAAGAATGTTTTTTTTTCATTTTTTTTTGTAAAGAAATAGCAATGAATTGGAATGAAAAGTAATTTGAAAAAAACAACGGAAAGATTAAAGTACAGAGAGTGATGGGAGTTGCTTAGCGTTATTTATTCTGTACCAAATTCGAATAGTTGAATTTTCCGCGTGGAATATTGAACTTTGAGTGAATTCCAAGTTTGACTCTATATTTTCATGCATCTAAAGTAGAACATTCCATCTGACTCTGGCAGACGCTTTTTTTCTAAAGTTACTCAGTGAGTCAAAATAAAATAGAAAAAGAGAGTAGAAAATTTAAGTTTTTTACAATTTTCGAGCGTTCTTTATGCTGCACAAAGTATGTCCGATCCCATGGAAGGCTCTCTCTGATCGATCGAAAAATGTACAGTTTTCGAGATTAGCATCTGTAGAGTTATCGAAATATTATTGTTTAATGCCCATTCGAATAAAAAATGATATCATTATGATATGATGCATGTATGAAGGGTCAAATTTTAGCTTAATTTAAAGATTTTCAGGATCTGCGATCCATGGTAGGGTAATAAGTTAGCATGTCTTCTTGTTCAATTTTAAATTATGAGAGTGAAATTAAACTAAATATAATCGTTTTTAAAAAGAAAAGATCATATGTTGGCGTCTCATGTCTATTGTAAGAGGATGATTTTGATACGGATGTTATTTTAGTTAAACGAAAAAGAATTTGTATCTCTTTTTGTCAAATCTTTGGCGTTATTGGGAATTAACTCTAGTAAATGTACTTGAACGTAGGTACTCGAGTTAGGTACCCTGCTACAAGAATGTCATGGATGCTTGCAAGTAAAATATTACTTAGCCGGTATCTAAACATCCAGCCATCTTAGGTGATCGTGTAAAGATAAAACCGTACGTCATTCTTGTAAACATAAACTTTTCTTTTATATATATCTGAACGCAAAACAAAACGGTGAACAAAAACTAAACAAGTAATATTTACTTGAAAAAAATTCAAGCACCTATGACATTCATGTAGCAAGGTACCCACATATGTACCTAAGAAAAATGCAAGTACTCAAGTACCTATCAAATACATTCACTATGGTATATATGATATAAACACATAAATAGAAGTAATTCAATGTTAGGAGAGATTTGTAAGAAGCTTACTTTATTTATCTGTATATCTTAAGCTTGAATATGTAGTTACATATATTTTATTAATCTTCACATATATATGGGAATATACAATTAGTGACAAAAGGAATGAAAGACTATGTTATAAATGACGATAGTTTTTTTTAATAAAATCTGCTATACATATAATGGTGAAATAGGTCGTGCGGGTTTCATTTGTTCTCGGAAATACGTGGCTGTCCATCCAATCTCACCAGGAATTGCTTGTCGCCGTAATGGTGGTCCCATGGTGTAACCACTAGAAGGAGAAATAAAAACAGTAATGATCGTAGGAGCTATAATGATTCGATTGTCTCCCACGTTGAATAAACTATGTTTACATCAAATAAAAACAGAGATCAGTTTTAAAATATTAAGTATTCATCATCCGTAAACAGTTCATGAACTTTAACGTTATTTTCAAGATAGATATCTTCGACTTCATTTTCTGTCCTAGCATGTAAGTCGATATATCTAATATTATTACCGTGTCAAATAGCCAACGTCTAATGATCGTAAAAGTGAAGCATTTCCTTCACCAATATCACCAATGTGATTGGGAATTGGATATCGATGATGCCATAAGGCATTCGGGCCTAAAAATGAGAAAATATGAATTTAGCCTTTTCCGATTGTCTACATATGAAAAAAACCCTTAGTTACCCGAAAATATTGTGTTCATATGCCTTGGTCGATCGAGAAACAAGTCAGACGATGTTCTTTTTAACGGTTTTCCTCCCCAATAGCTTGTTGGCGGTGTAGGACGTTGGCCGTGTCTTGACATCTTGTTTCGATCGAACACTAAAATGTTTACTAATAACAGTTGCTGATTGAATATTAATAAATATTTTTTCAACACACTGTATTTAAACCCATTACATTTTCAAGTGAGACAATTATATCTTTTTACAAGTGTAGTCAGAAATATTTGAAATATTTGATTGTCATAAACCCAATAGAGTAACTTTTTTTCTTATTTTCACCTGTATAATCAGCTGTCATCAATGAAAAACAAATACAATTGAATGAAAGAAAATCAACAGTGTTAAACAAAGAAAAATAGTTTGTACTGAATATTGGACAAACAACGGTTAAGAAAGAACGTTTTACAATAAAATTTTCCGAGAAACAATAAATAGATTCATATTTCATGTTATCCTGATTACTTGCATAGTACAGATTGAATTCTCTAGCTTTAATTGATGTATTGGAACATTTGTGAAATTTCTCGAAACACCCACTTGTTAAGAGAGTAAATACACTTTTAGAGCAAGTACAGGGGAACGATCTGCACACGGCAGCGATGACAAAAAATAGATGAAATAGATTTTGATTTTCCACAGTTAGATTTAGACGATTTACTTCAATTCTTGTGCTGTTCCTATCAAATAAAACAGATTGAGATTTTAACTATTGGTCGATACGGACTAGATATATAATAGAGTTAAAGTTAGATACTTTAGTTCCGTATTTTAATTTTAATTTTATTTATTTAATATAAAATAAAATTATAAGATAAAATTATAAAATAAAAATATAAATAAAATTAAAATTAAAATACGGAACTAAAGTATCTAACTTTAACTCTATTAAATAAAACAGAGTCCTACTTACACCGAAGAACATTTAGATGTCAATGGCGATTTCGCCATTCAAGTTTCAAAAGAAACAGATAAAATAATTCGCGATGTCATTCGAAGTAGACACCGTAACAGAGAAAAGTATTACGTTTGGATAGAAGTTTCGCTTTCAGGAACCGCAATTCAATCATAGTACTGTCAATGCAAAACAGGAGCTAGGACGGTCAGAGCTTGTGCTCACGTCGCAACCATAGTGTGGTATCTGTCATATGCTCGGCATAATGATTTTGAACCATCAAAGGGAAGAAGAAGAATACAGCAGGCAATCGAAACAACAGGATCTAATGACGAAGAAAATGTCTCTGATAGTGGAGACTGGAAGCAGCTGCAAGAGCAACAGCATCAGACGTGAAATAGGGAGTCCATCGATGCTCTTATAGCAGAAGGATACGAAAAATACACTATAAACGCAATATTTTATCAAAATTGAAACTCTCCTATCTTATGTAGCGTAACAAACTACTGCTTTTTTTATTTTCTATGTTTTTTGTTTTTTTAATAAGTGCTTTGTTTTGGAGTATCAGTTGACTGTCAAAAAGTTTTATTTTCAATAAACAAAAAGAAATTGAATCTGTATCGGCTTTAATTTTCGGCATGCGCCTTCTTTCCTGGGGTCAACATGCTTTAAGTTTCGGCAAGAGAGACGTCCTCTACTCGATAGTACACAATAGAAAACACTTCGTACTCACACACATTCTAGACTACAGGGTGTCCCAAAAGTCCGACGGGAAAAAAATCTTAATAACTCCGCCATTTCTTAAACAAACTTCAAGATCGTCTTTTTGTTTGATAGAGAAACGTTCCATGTTTTATTTCATACAACTGGAAATTTCTGTGTAAAGAAGGATCAGTACGGAAAAATAATAAAACTTACAACATATGTTTTCTGTTTAAGTACTTGTAATAGTGCGCAAAGATTGTTGAGTTTGTCATAATTAAACGGAATCTTTGTCAGAGTCGCATTACGTCTCATTTTGTAGAACTCAGGTTGCTCTACAATCCCATATATTCAAATGTTTTGTCCAGCTTAAAGTTTTGCCACAAGAAGTTAATTTCTCCATATTAGCATGATCTAGGAATTGCGACTTCTGCAATAGCCTGATACAATCTTTTACAGGCTTTCAAACTATTCCAGTTTATAAGGCTGCCTTCTTCCTATAGAATTCCACTAGTAGTGTTTCCTTTTATTAGTTAACTTTATCTGAAAAATGTTTTTATTACTTTTTTGCACTTTTCCAGATTCTAGTATGGAATAACAATGACTGAAGAAATCCACACCAACAGGTCATTTTTAAACAAAAGCAAATTCTTATTTCATTATGTGAAAGCCGTCATCGTCTACTTTATTTTAATATTAAAAATTATTAATGTTCTTTTCAAAAAGTTTTGCAGCACATAATGTATTAAAAACGAGTCCCAAAATATCTGAATTTCACTATAATAAACCAAACATCTTTTCAAATATTAACAAGAGTTTCCAATCGTACGAAATAAAACTTGGAACGTTTCTCTACCAAACAAAAACACAACCTTGAAGTTTGGCTAAGAAATGGCGAAGTTATTAAAAACTTTTTTCTCGCCGGACTTTTGGGACACCCATTTTTTTAGACTAAACGCACTTCTGAACGCGTTTTTCTGCACTAAGGACGCGTTTGAACGCGTTTTCTTACAACTGAAACGCGTTTAGCCGCGTCAAAAACTGACGCGACAAGATGCTGTGAAAATAAACGCGTTTCGGCGCGTTCAAATGGCTAACACGTTCGAACGCGTTTGGATACGCTAATGTCTCTCAAAACGCATTTGAATGCGTCAGGAACAAACGCGTTTAGGTGCGTTTACTAACTAACGTGTTTGGCATCGTAATTCGACACCTTTAACGCAGCTGAACGCGTTTGAAAACATTTCGTAGAAGGTGCTGCTAAACGCGTTAGTTTCTATGAAAATTTAAACGCACTCTAACGCGTTTTTTTAGCAGAAAAAGTTTGCCTGGGGTATCACATCAATACCTCTTGGAAGGGACCGGCAAGAGTAAAGAGTATTCTGAATAAAGTGATCATTTGGACCAAAAATTTAAAACTAAAAACAGTATTTCTGGCAGCTGACGGCGCCAGTCTGTGCCAAAATTTGGCACATGCGTTATTTTTCATTTACGAGATCATGTGCTTTCAAGTTAACATGCATGCATCTCGCATCTCTTCATTTTCACCTTGATCGGAACATTTTTCAGAATCTATGAGACTTTATCCAAACGAACTCACATAGAACTAACCAGTCGATGACGCTGATTTCATTTCTGAAGACGAAACTTCGATCTGACCTTTGATTTTCAAGATCATGTAGTTTCAAGCATTCATGCATTCACATACATGAGAGATATCTAAAAGATCAAGCTACATTCCAGTGAAGAAGAACTTTTAGAAAAGTCAAAAAATAAAATCAACGAAAAATATTGAAGTTTAAAATTAATGTATTTATCCAAGATTTTATATGAATTTAGGAAATCTGAAAACATGCGTCGCTTTCAGCTTAGATTTCGTAACAGTGAGTCACACAGTTTATAATATAAAGTACAATGAAGAAATTATTTTGCAGCATTTATTTTGCTTGACATTCATATTTACAGAAAAATATTCATTTAAAATCACAGTTATTCTGTTCGAAATATTGGATAAGTCGAAAATATAGATGTATGCGGTTGTTTTGCATCAAGTAACGCTTGTTCTTCAACACCTCTGGTAAGATCAACAGCAATTTGTTGAAATAAAAATGACCATGCTTGTTTACGACTCATTGTATAACTTTTACCAAGCAAACTAGTCAAAACAGAATCCATTGCTACACTCGCAAACTGCAAATAAAATATAAAATAAAAGATATATAAACCGACTTAATAAACA